TGAGAGGGTGGATTGCGGGTGGAGAAGGGTAAGAGCGGCGAGGGGGGCAAGGAGGGGGTGGAGACGGAGGGGTTAGCATTCAATTACCTCGGATTTCCTCGGCAAGAGGCGATTCACCTCCGCGTATATGCCATCTTCGGGGGCGAGATTGCCAACGGATCTACGGAGCACCGTTTCCCGAAATATTACGACAATATATACCCGAGCAACGGGACGAGTCGCTGATTCAGAGGCATCGATTCGTGCTGGATAGGCGGTGTTTCGATGTATTTGGCTTGGTGGTTGTAGCGGTGGAAAGGTTGACGAGCTATGGCGAGGGGATGTAGTTAGATTAGACGGAAGGATTTGAAGGGTGAAATTTAATGGTAGTTGCGTTGTTGTTTTATTATTTAAAGTCGCGTCAACTGTCGTAAGTTATCAACGACTATTTTCTCTACTAAAACAACGCACATGTGTATTCTCGATTTTCCTACAAGCTTTAATATCTACATTGAAGCTGCTAGCAAGATGTTGGTCTTTAGCACAGCCATTGTGATCGTCGCGCGCAAGATTCCACTACTCTAAGACGCCAGCTAGCACTCTGATACCTCAATACCTACACGCAGAGTAACAATGAGTTTGTGAACGATTGAACACGAGGGACGTGTTTCGAATTTAATAGATACGCGTTCTTGCTGCAATTGTTGATTTTGGATAGGATTTTCATACGACTGATCGCAATTGTTTGAAACTAAAAGTATATATATATATATATATAGATAGATTAGAATTCGAATTTCTTATTAAAAGGAAAGAAGTGGGATGGAGAGTGGCCAAAAAGAAATTACTACGCGTCTGGCGACTAAATGCAAGTTTCTTTCGTACAGAGCAAGACGAGTTTTAATATTCTGAGCGTTTCTCTGGCGTCTTGATAGACGAAAAAAAGATAAAAGGGGAAAGAAAGGGACCGAGGCTGGAATAAGCAGCGGGGGAAAAGAAATTAAAAATAAGGAAACACGGGGATCGGGGCTTGAAACTAATGATCAAGGTATAATTAGCGAAAAGGAATGAAAAAGGGGAAAGTTAGAAATTCTTGTAGAAAGAGGATCCTAATTCCCCCAGTTATTTATTATTCCTACGTAACTCGGTATACCAAGTATATGTATAAAATCGTTTCGAGTGATCGGAAATTTTATTGAACAACATTTTCAGGTGAAT